GACAGGCCATGGAGACTTGTAGGAGACCTTTTTGTTTGTTTGTTTATAGAACCCGTCCTCATACTTATACTTATAGAGAGAGCCAAATTTCGAGGAGCAGTGAAAATCGAAACACACGCAAATTTGAAAAATTGGAACTCAGGAGACCTTTTCAAATGCAAGTAAGTATATATACTTACTTGCATTATATAGTAATATATATAGCACCAGATGAAGCCTGAAATAGGCCTATTAGACCCTGCTTATGGGCCATTATAATAGTTAAACGGTATGTTTTGTGGTCGTGCTACGTACATGGTTATTCAAAATGATGAAGCGTCGGAAATTTGGCAAGTTACCACAAATGAAATGTTTTTACAGTTACGGTCGATTATAATCGCCTAATGAGCGGTCAGGAGGCGCCTTTTTTAAAATGTACTGTGAATTGAAAGTTGGACGGTGCCAGGCGGTTCTAATGACCAATTAAAACATATAAAATAACATTGAATAAATAATCCCTCTGTACACTGCACACTATATGGCTCATGTTTAGTATGAATTCACCCCAACACTTCATTAGCCTAAAATGAAATCAAACCAAAATATTGCGAAAACCATGAAGTTTTGTTTGCTCATATTGAGCGAAAAAAGGAAAGCTAGGAAAAGCTAGGAAAACAATTAATTATAATAAAGAAAAGCTAGGAAAAGCTAGGAAAACAATTAATTATAATAAAGAAAAGCTAGGAAAAGCTAGGAAAACAATTAATTATAATAAAGAAAAGCTAGGAAAAGCTAGGAAAACAATTAATTATAATCGATATTCCAAAATAGAAAAGCGCCAATAATTTGTATTATCGCTTTAAAACGCTTATATTTATAAAAACGTCTTATAATTAATGTTGTCGAACACTTATAAGCGATTTCCAAATAGGATTGGCGATAGCAAGCGGTGGAAAAGCGGTCGGCCGAGAAACTGATTATAAGTTGTTATAACTTATAAGTGAATATATAATAATCTTAAATACCACTTATATAAGCGTTAAACAAGATATTTCTAATACACATATAATAGTTTTTTAAATTTAGTTTTTTAGTATAGTTTTTTCACACAAGGCACCGAGTATTCATTTAACTTAATAGTAGTGTTATAAATACCATTTTTTATAATATAAAGAACACGATATTAAGAGTCAAATAAAGAGCGACAACAACAAACTACCCATACTGTCTCTCAAAACTACTATATAATGAATAATTTGAGGCACTAATGATGTAGTATTACGAAGATTTCAAGCCTTACGTTGTGTGTTTCCCTTCGTGTCCAAAAGCATTATACCTATCAGTTTTATCTCTAAAAACTGAACTTAAACTTTAGTTATTAAACATATTCGATATGAGCTTCTCAAAATCACATCGTGACAAATTGAATAAGTATGTCTTCAAACGGATTTTAAACATACCCACTGTATAACATTGCGGTAATAGATTTTATTAAATCCATCAATCATCTTCTACCATCACTATGTCACACTATGTGACATTATGTCACACTATGCCACACTATGTCACACTATGTCACACTATGCCACACTATGTCACACTATATCACACTATGTCACACTATATCACACTATGTCACACTATGTCACACTATATCACACTATGTCACACTATGTGACATTATGCCACACTATGTCACACTATGTCACACTATCTCAATTGTCAACCCTTTAAAATCCTCCAATATTTCTATTGCTATTCACTAATCTACGTACTGACTAAAATCTATTTGAAAAATCAGACCCCAATTCGCAATTCCTTCTATAAGGAAATCGCACAAATAAAGTGAGCACAAATTTACTGTCAGACTGTATAAGCTTATAAGTGGGGTGTAAATTTCATGTAATATAATATATATAATATATAATAATATATAATAATATATAATAATATCTATATTATATTTTAAACTTGACGAAATTTCCCCGGCAACGGGGACATAGAAGAAAAAACACCGAAAATCGACCTCAAAATGACCCTCTGGTGATGCCAAACCCAGCTCGCAAATGGAGTTGAAACCTCGCCATTTTTAGCAGGGTTGTAGAAAAAGGATAGGAATAGGCTATAGCATTCTTAGAATTTTGATTTAGGCTTTAGATTTTTTATAATTAACGTCGGAAGTGAGGTAAAATAACCGTTAGAATAATGTCGTTATTTTAGCAAAGGTTTACTGCGCTAGGTTGCGTAGCAACGTTAAAATGCACGTGCGCGAGCAAAAACATCTTAACTACGCGCGTTGTTATGCTGTATGCTACGTCATAATTTCAAAACTAGCTCACATTTACGCTCACGCTATGACTTCTTATAACTTTGTTTGTGATTGGTATTTTTTGATGCGGTAAAAAGTATCGTTTTGGGAATCCGAATACTAACAACGCTGTCGCCATTGTTAGATAAATTCCATTATGTCTACAGTATAACAGAGCTATATGATGAAGAGAAATTAAAACATAACTGATTTTTAAAATTTCCTCGAACAAAGCTTTCGACTAGCGGGTTTCTTCGCTAGAGCTACACACAATGCTGACATTACGCCGCGCACACACAATCAACAAAAATATTGATGTTTCCTAATTACGCAAATAACTTTGCGCAGTTAAACATCACGTGCCATTTTAAATGCCTGGCAATAATTCAATTGACTGTCATTCTCGATTGAAATATCTTCCAACGATTAACATATTTTACTCATCTGTTGTTGTTTTTCAATGCCCTTTCTTGGATCTAGACCTGCTAAACGGAGATCTCTGCACAATCGATTTGCTGTGAGAGTTAAAGATATGAAAAAGTTCAGACACCGTGACTCATCGTAAGAACCTACATATATTTAACTTTAAACGTCGTTACATTACCATTCTTGCTTTATAAATATCATCTAAAATTTGTTGTATCTGTATCTATCCACTTTAACATTAACTTTCATACGTAAAAACTTTCATACGTAAAAACTTCAATTTGAACAGAGAGGGACCTGACATTTACCGAAATGATTCAAATGTGTAATTCATATATTTTCAGTGAAGCAGGGTTCGGGAACTAAAGCATATTTGTTGGATTGTTTGACCATTGACTAGCGATGACCGATAAATTCGAACGATAAATTCGCTCCCTTATAGTGTCCTTTAATAAAATTTTCGACTACAGCGGATTTCAACGCGCGGTGTTATGCTGTATGCTACGTCAGAATTTCACAACTAGCTCACATTTACCCTCATGACGCTATATACCTATATATATTTATAACTTTGGTTGTGATTGAAATTTTTGATGCGGTAAAAAGTATCGTTTTGGGGCTATATGATGAAGAGAAATTAAAACATAACTGATGTTTAAAATTTCCTCGAACAAAGCTTTCGACTAGCGGCGGGTTTCTAGTATAATATATAATAATAAGGTAATCTCACCTGCTGTACGTTATAATCGCGCTTATAATGGTTTCTTTGTTAGCACGCTAAAACCACCAAACCTTCCGGTCTCTGGTAACAAAGAAGGCAGCAAAACGTGAGCTTACAAGATGATAAGCATTTATTTCTCGTAAAATAGAAGGAACCTGTTTTCGCATACAAGCGTAAAATGTCTACGAAGCCAAAACTCGCTATGTGTCTTGACTCTTACGCGCACCAATTGAACCTCAGACACCACCCTTAAAGGCAAACTGAGCTTCAATACTATATCACCCGTTTTTGTCACTTGTGTCAAAATTAGAACGGTTTGGATGCGGACGGTTAGGCACAACTGCCCTTACTCGGTTAATTAGCCATTCAGCTTATAACTAATAAACTGTTCAGAAATTTAGGAGAAATTACACAGCAGGAAATAACCTCGAATAGGACGATTTCAAATAGTTTAGAAGCGAACACTAAATGACAGCTTCACAGTAAATAGATCACCGGCTTCATTTTAAGTGGAGAATGATCCATATTATATTTTTTATTTTACGCTTGCTTGACAATGACGAACCAATATAATTCCAGCAGCAACCAATCGTGTTCGTTACTCATTGTGATCGTGGGTAAGAATAAGTATTAATCAGCTCACAGACGTATAGTAATAATGTATAGTAATGAGCATTGGTTTTATAGGTCACTGCCTTCTAAACCCAACAGCACCTGTATTCATGCTAGATCTCACCTATTGAGGTCATGTTAAGAGCAATCAACTGAGAGGTATTGATAACGTATGCACTCTGCAGTCAATACTTATTGGAAACAACGTCAACCTGCTTAAACTTAAAGGTAGAATATTTATAACCTCGTACTCTCAGATCTGTTCGCTTTTCTCTTGTACGTGACTGCATGGATACTTAGGTTAACATGTACACTACAGCTAAAACTACCAGGTAATTCCCCCTTTAACAGTAAGGTCCGTGAAATGGCGTGCTGGTCCGTGAAATGCTGCATAAACATGATAAGTACAATTTAATAAGGTCGCGCAGTGCCAGCATTGGAATGGATTTGTGCGCGACTCTCCGCCGGCAAATTGTCGTGAACAACCCTATAATCGCAACAACTGATAACTTGATTAGTATTATTATCGTAATTGCAGATGAGCTGAACATGTGACATCAGCCCAAAGGATAATATACCAGATAATAATCATTTCATGCTGGTATAGCATGGGTAGATTGTCTATTTTTATATATTAGTATTACGCTATTGTAACTTTTTTATTCTGCTGTATTTAATGAGGTCTCGGTAATTTAGCCATCCTAGTTACCCAGTTATGGATCATATGGAGTCCATACATCTTTAGTAAATGCTTATCTTTTTGATAAATGAAAGTCCATGATAAGAGTTGTGAGCTGATTGAAATTGGACAACTTGAGCTGTACTCTACCAAGAAACAGTTTGCGTCGAAATTTGAACGAAATCTGACCACTATTTTCGGGATCAAAAATGTTCGTTAATTAGTTAAAACAATATACATAAAAGCCAAGGAAATTAAAAGTCCCAAAATCATACCTGGTTGATAACGCTTGCCATATGCAGACATAGAATCAGACTGAAACTGATCGCGGTTTTCTTGATGAGGAGTGTGCTGTTGTCCATATAACCCTTGATTATCAGTATAGCTAGAACTGGAACACCCTGCAACCGTGTCCAGGGACTCTAAAGATGTGGTGGACGTAGCCAGGGACAAGGTGGACATGCAGGAGTCAAGCTCCGTGTCAGAGTCACTGCTCATCCCGGCTGTTGAGTCGGTATCCAGCGAGTCATTCGAGAGAGCTTTATACCTAGAATAAAACATAATAATCTGTGGAATAATGTCACAATTAATCCTGTTGAAAAGATTATATTGTATATATGAATGTTGCAAGCAATCATTGAAATTGCATAGACCATGTATATGGGATATCATGACATTCATGAGGTTGTGACGACAACACCAACGTTGGGCTGCCTTTGTAATGACATACGGATTGTCGCGATCGTACAAAGGTTATTTTCGACATAGTCCCAATTAATGGGTTCTGGACGATAGGTACGACAAACAAGGATAATGTCCGCATTGAAGTAATTATTAGACAGTGTTAAAAATCAATAGTTCTACGATTTCTATGATCTGCGCTATTTTGAGATTATCAAAAAGTATTAATTAACACTTCTGATCAAAACAAATGGTTAAAGAAACAAAATTTAACTTGTCAGAGGGAGTGAGTTCTTCCAAAAGAAAACAAAATAAAGAGAAACCGAAAGAGAAACTATTTGACTGTGTGAATGGCTGAACTCGATTTGTATTTTGGAAGGTTTTAAAAATAAAGCTTCTAGCTGCGATATACAAGGAGAAACGACAAGGAGAAACGGCAAGAGGGGTGTTAATGACAAGTGAAGAAACACAAATATATTTTGCACGGAATAACGTTAACTCGAAGAGAAAGAGCTTAACTCCTCTGTGCTTCCTAATCCTTTTGAGGCTGCCCTTGCTCCGAAGAGAATAAGAGCTACAGTTGGGTCGACGGCTGATAAAGGTGATCATATATACGGATTCTATCTGAGACCATTTAGAAGTGCTGCCTGATAAGGCTTCAGGTGTCATAGGTGAAATTGGTGAGAAAACAGTGACGGAAACTTTTAAAAACAGAAATGCCACCTATAGTGAAGGCGATTGATTTAATGGTTTCGGATGGTTTTCAGGGTAGTGTTTGACCCAAACAAGAAATTTGGGTTAACGAATTCAGAATTTCAAAAATTGTCTCTAAGCACACTTATCAGAAAACGGCAGAGCGCACAAAGGATTGATAATAACATAAACCCGCCACGCAAAGGGTTTATATAACAGATCATCCCGCGCTAGCGGGATGATCTGATAAACACATACGAGTGCGCGCAGCGCACGAGTTTTGTGTTAATATGTAATCCCGAAGCGCCAGCTGAGGGATTACATTTATTTAGCCCTGAGCGTGAAGTGTTTATGGATTATAATTATCTCCGGCGATTTCGACAAGGGATTTATACTTGAGAAGTATATATAGAAGAACACGATTGGAAAGCAGTTCATCAATCTGAATGTCAAACCGATCTGTCATAGTGGAGCAATAGCTTGAACGTTAGCAGGAACAAGAGCTGGAAGGAGAGCAAGCAAAACAATACTATTTTTAGGGCAAGGACAAGGGTAGCTGGCTAGTCGCCAACTTCTCACGCCACGCGTTGGAGAAATTCCAAGAATTAGCTGCTTTGGCAACGTTCCCAGGAATTTGCGTGTAAAAGAAGTGGACGGTTACGATGTTTCATATCACGTGGTGCGCTTTCGTGTCACGTGGTATAGACTCGGCGTATGCTATTGGTGGCACGTGGTACGCACGTGACGCGCCCACGTGATCGCGCGTCTAACTGTTCTACTATTATCGAGTTCTAATCAGCAGTATCATTGATTATTGTAAGTCGGAGAATTGAATGATAAACATCAGTTACGACTAAAAAGCGGGCCGGGTTTATACAAATTTCCGGGGCGGGATGATATCACCTTGAGATGTTTATCTAACAGCGGGCCGGGCTGAGTGATAATATGATCCCGCGTCGAAATCCCGGAGATATTTATATTACTATAGGTGTTGCGTGTCAGCTCCGACAAGATAGTTTAGCAAAGGAGAGCTCACAAGAAGGTCTGGGAGGATAACAAACAGAAAGCAAGTATCGGAACCTCAAAAAGTCCATTAAAATCGAGACCATAAAATCGACAGCGATATTTGATAACAAAGGGTGTGAGCCTAGTTTGACAAGACCAGATCTAGTTTCAATTCGGACAATGGACACATATCTGATGTGGTGTTAAATGATATTTTTATAGCTTATATTAGGTCTAATTAGAACGTGCACAGTGCCCAATGTCATTGGTTGGACAAACTTTCTTTTCGTATATTTTGGTAAACCAAAACTTTCTATTGGGGTCACGTATCCAGGCATTTTAGCTTATTCTTGGTGAGATTTATTTTGTAGATTGTATAATGTATATTAATGTATATCAATGTATTGGTTGCTAATTGAATATCTGATTGAAAAGTAGTCTTGGCGTGAAAAAGTGGTGACGGAAATACTAAAATTGCTGGAAATTATCCTACCTTCGGTACCAGGATAGCATGTTACTGACTGCAGAGGAAGACAAGCTGTTCAATAACCAGCGAGTCTTAACCAACTGTTAGCAAAGAAAATCGTATTACTTATAAACACGTAGTACAGCAGTAGACACTGTGTGCGTGTTTGTACTGAGAATCTAGTTGTGACAGAATCTCTCGTTGCTGTGACAACCTCTCGTTGGCTGGATAGTAATTACTAATTACTAATTACTTATTCATTGCACGAAAAGATACCCGGCTAGCTCCTGATGTTCTTAGTACTGCATATTTGCATAACTGAAGATTAGCTGTGCTGAGGCAAAGTCCTAGTCTAATGATCAGTACCAACATTATAACATCAACATCAACATTGCATCAACATCAGTATCAACATCATTGAAGTCACCACTGGGCATCGAGCTGGAAGGTGACTATGACCATAGGTCCAGCACACATGGAGGTAATGTTTCTCATTTTGTGACACAGGACCTAGCCTACCCACGTGCAAACTATGCTATTCGAATTGTATGACTACAAGTGTTGCATACAGTCCAAAACACTTTACATTTTGACAACAAATACGAACTGTTGAATTTAGATTTGTAACGTGGCCCCTTCATTATCGTAGATCCTACTAAGTATGATCACCGTTATAGAAGGTGGGCATCTACGGAATTAAACCGACCACCGACGAAATAGAGCCTGATATAGCATCTCAAGTTTGTCCGATATCAAATATAAAGGTTCACAGCTGCTCTCTCTAGAGCCATCTCCACGATTATATCGAGACAACATCTGGTTCGCCGGGGTCAGGATGACGGTTACAAGGGGGTTACAAGGGGGTTACAAGGGGGTTACAAGGGGGTTACAAGGGGGTTACAAGGGGGTTACAAGGGGGTTACAAGGGGGTTACAAGGGGGTTACAATGGGGTTACAATGGGGTTACAAGGGGGTTACCTGAACATAGTGTAGTTTCCCTCTCAGAGAATCTGTTCGTATAAGTAAGACAGCAAAGAGAAAAACCAGCTCACTATTAATAGATCACACATAATATAAAGGGACTAGCCGAGAATCCTCGCATGTGGCTTGAAGTTGAATACGTGCATTGATTATCAATGTGCAATATGCGTATAATTGCGGCATGGGATCTTTCTATTATATAATTAAGGTGAGTTAGCAGTTATTGTTGGACTCTAAACAACGAATGAGTTTTACAAATTCCAACAAAATCTTTATAACATCGGTAGAATATTTTCGTCCATCATAAGTGCCTCACAAAGATAAGATGAGGTTAGTACACTAAAACAGACTCTAATTGGTGGTGTGATCATCAAATGGTGCAGGTTGTAAAGATAATAATGTGTATTTATATAGTGGATACACAATACACAATACACTATTCACTAGAAGAGTCCCAACAAGATGGAGAGTCCCAAGTTGGAGAATGCTACCATCAAATTGACCCACCTGTTGATCGGGTAAACTGTCACTCTCCTCTCCCAAAAAGCTAACTCCCTCTCGCCCCCAGATAGTTTAAACAATCTCCCACTCTCTGTTAGCAATCTCTAAACAATCCCCAATTATCCTGTCGATAACCACAACATAGTAACTGTAGTATTCTCTAAACACCGCACAAACCAACCTCGTATTAACTCAAACATATGTTAAACTGACCTCTCTGCCCTTAAACTGCAATAACTGTCGTATACTAATATATGCCCCAAAATACTACGGTAAAATACTGGACGCAACACGACCACCTTATTATAATCACTATATTACACAATATTACACAATATTACCCAAAATTCATCTCAATTGATCACGGCTTACACACTGATCATGTACATATATTTTAACATTTTTACTGCTTAACGTCTGCTTTTCTTACTTACTGTATAAAAATGGATTTAAAAATCATTTGCTGAAATAAAAACGTCAAAAAAAAAAGAAGAAAAAAACAGGAATTTTAATGGTTTTGAATGCCTTCTAGCGTTCATATTAATGTCCGTTCATATTAATTATGTCCGTTTATTTAATGTCCGTCCAATTAAGGTCCGATAAGGTATGTTCAGGTAACCCCCTTGTAACCATCATCCTGACCCCGGCGAACCAGATGTTGTCTCGATATAATCGTGGAGATGACTCAAGAGAGAGCAGCTGTGAACCTTTATATTTGATATCGGTACAAACTTGAGATGCTATCAGACTCTCGTGGTGGTCGGTTTAATTCCGTAGATGCCCACCTTCTATAATCTATAACTGTGATCATACTTAGGAGGATCTACGATAATGAAGGGGCCACGCTACAAATCTTAATTCAACAGTTCGTATTTGTCGTCAAAATGTAAAGTGTTTTAGACTGTATGTAACCTGTAGTCAGACAAATGAAATAGCAGTGGATACACAATACACATGGACATATCCACTAGAAGAGTCCCAACAAGATGGAAAGTAAAGAACTCAAGTTGGAGAATGCTACCATGGCAATGGTTTATCGTATAAAACTCATCCTAGCAAACAGGTCAGTTCACGGTGGTATAGTGGATTGGTGGTGGTTATATGACCTCTCTCGCTTTACTAATGTGGGGGAGTTAAAACTGAAATTCAGCTCTCGGAGATCTGGTTAAAGAGTTTCAAAAGGCGAGCCGGCGTCTTAACTTTGAATTCTGACGTTACGTGATA